ACGCATGAAGAGGGGTTGTCTGTGGGTGACGGGGTGACGGGGAGGTGAATAAAGGCGCAAACTGGCTGAAGGAAATGATGCATGATGGACAGGTGACTGGCTGGGTAAATATCTATAAACTGTATTTATATAAGCGGGCCTCTTGCTGCCCATTGAAGAAGCCAGCCCTGAAGACCAGAAACGGAAACTAAAAATCCTGGGAAGAAAAATGAAGGCTTCAGTATAGGAAGACAGAAGGCTGGAACCACACGTGTGGCTTCGAGATACGGGGCCAAAATCACGCTCTTGAGACTACTGTCACACTTACCTCAAAGACTTCATCATCTAGAATATGGGCACCAAAGATCACCACCCCACGGGTGTCCAGCACCGGGTGCACACTTCGGGGAAGGGGCCGGGTGACTCGCTTCTTACAGTCCACAATGAGGGTGACAGACTGCCCCTTCACAGCCACAGCCACGCGGTGCCACCTAATCATGGGGTTAGAAGTTCATGTGACTGACTAGTGATAGGGCTGGGAGACAGCCAGTAGAAGAGCTGGCAATGATAATGGGATTAAAAATCACAATGGTAGAGCTGGAGAGATGGCTCAAGGGTTAAGAGCACTGGCTTCTCTTCCAGAGGACCTGGGTTCAATTCCCAGCAACCACATGGTGGCTCACAACCACCTGTAATTCCAGTCCTTGGGGATCTGATGTTCTCTTCTGGCATCTACAGGTATCAGGCAGGCAGGAAAAACACCCACACACATAAATTAAATTAAAAATTTTAAAGAATTACAAGCAAGGGTTACCACTTATCTGGTGTTTATAGCATGGGCACCCTGCAATCATTTTCTAGTTGAGGTACCATATTTGATGATCTTTATAGACACAGAAACTAATGCTCAGAAAGTTAAGTCCTCTGCCAGTGTGCCAGCAGGTATCTTTGTATTCCCATTCCTAGACATAGACTCCAAGACCCAAACCCTAATCAAGAAGTGACAACTTCAAGCATCAGGCTAGTGTACCCAAGGAGTCCCTTAGTTTAGAGACTGAGCAGACTGAGGCACTTTCTGCTGACAGCGTGGATCAGGCAGGCCAAAGGGACAAACTTACTTGCCATCTGCTAGGTTGAGGCCTCGGAAGATGGGCTGAGAGGGGGCTTGTGGCCGTCCCCTCTGGTCCTCATACAGGAAGCGGACAGGGCGACCAAGCTCAAGGCCCAGCTGCTGGACTCCCTGGACACTGTATAGAGTCAAGAGGGGGGCCTGGAGGCCAGGGCGGGTCCGGACAACAGTCATCAGAGAGAAATCTCTGGGAAAGCCTCCTGGTGCCCGAGAGAGAGAGAGAGAGAGAGAGAGAGAGATGGAGTTAGTGGCAAAGGGACCCCAAACTCCACCTCCCCGTCTCCCCACCTCCACATCTCACTGCCCAAACCTGGGAAGAGCTGGCGGGTGGGTGCACTGAGCTGGGCAGGTCGTGACACACGGTAGGCCACATCAGACGGACAGACCCCTTTTGATTTCCGGACACCATCAGGAAGGGAGGGGAACCTCAGGGCACGCAGTATGTCCACAGAGGGGGCACCTGGGAGAGCCGGGGCTCAAGTCAGTACACAGAACATGTCTCAGAGACAGTCTCAATAGGGAACACCCAGATCTCCTCCTCAGTCCCCCTTACATTCTCCTGAAATGGCCCTATAGGGATGGGAAGCAAAGTGACCCAGAGTGGCAGGGCTGCTAGCCCTGGCTGGCATGCAACTCGATGCCCTCGCACCCTCTCTTTCCCAGACCCGCTGTCGTTCTGCCTCTAAGCTGTGAATCTCAGCTAAGGTCTCTCACTGTCTTCCCCTGCCTCCCTCTGTCTCTCCTCCCCTCTCTGCCCCTGTACCCCTGTGTGTGCACCTGCCGGACCCTTCCTCCCTTCCCTCTTCTGTTTTCCCTCCTCCCCCACCCACCCCCCTGCCCATCCTTTTCTTCCTCCCTCTCCCTCCCTCCCTCTCTGTATCTCCCAGTTTCTGGCTTCCTGGCATCTGCTTGGTCTCTAGCACAAACAACATCTGGGCAATCCATCATCCCGGGCACAGGGAGGCAGAGGGGTGGCTGTGTACAAGAGGTCTTCCCGCTGCTTAAGTCTAGGTTGGGGTGGGGGCAGGGCAGCTCTGACTGGACTAAGGAAGGAGATAGAGCAGGGTGACCCAGAAGCCTCTGCCCCCAGGCTTGGTGAATAGGTTTGGAGACTTGGGGAAACTGAAGCTGCCACGCAGAGCAGGAGCAGGTCCAGGGCCCCAAGCCACACATCTGTAGATGCCATCAGAGTTCTTGCCCAAACCCCAGGCAGGCTCCCCACACCTGGAACCTCGGTGCTGCCCTTCCATCCCCCACCCTCTGAATCCAAAGATTCAAGTCTCCGGCCATCAGCCAGGTCTCCTTAGATTTCAGCTTCCTGGGCCCAAACTCCCTGGAAGCACACACTCCTCACACCATCAGCTCCACAGCGGAGAGCTCCCACAGAGGGTGCTTGCAAGTGTTGGTAGAAGTGTGGGACGGGCAGAGGCCAGGGCAGTCAGGGGAGCAGAGCTGGGCGGGGTGAATGAGGTGGGGCAGCCAGCAGAGAAAAGGCCCTTTGAGTCCAGGAGCTGAGGAAACCGCGACCTTCCCCCGCCCCTGAGGAGCCTGGCCCCCAGTGCAGCGGCTCTGCAAACACTGACACACAAGGGCAGCTTTGAGAGACTAAGGTGAGGGAGACAGAGAGACAGAGACTCACAGAGACCCCAGGCCAAGGAGACCTCGGAGGTCCCCACCCTCCACCAAAGCCCAATGGAGGACAGTTCCACACCATGCTCACTGCCCACAGGCCTGCCCCCCTCAAGCCACACACTATCCCCCCTGTCTCAGACTCATTGGCACCCATCAGTTGCCCTGAGCCCCCAGATGCCCTGTCCTCTGATCTCAGGGATTCTCAGTCACCCAGCTCCCTGGACTGCTCCTCCACCCACTCAGCTCCCAAATCAGAGACAGTTACCTTGCCCAGCCCCCTGCACGTCATTTCTGTTATTTCTTTGGTCTAATCTATATCCCTTACCCTGTCACTCTGCCTATTTTCTCTCCAGAGAATAGAAAACATGAATAATGGAGATATATACAAAGTCGGCCCCTGCCCCCCATTCTGGGAGAGAGGAGCTGTTCCATCCTTAGACCCACTACTCCCAGACTCTACTCTGATACAAAACCCTCTTTTCTAGGAGCCTTTCCCCTCTGGGGGAAAAACGGGGAAAGATTGGGCCTGTGGACACCAGGGTCCCAGAGGAGTCCGGCTGGCCAGAGGGGGAGGGGAGGGGCAGGAATGCAAAGAGCTGGCTCTGGCCTCAGACACCTGATCCTGGCCTGTCCAGCGGCCGTCCTGTTGGCAGCCAGCCCTGGTGCTCCCTAGAGCCAGCCGCGTGGCAGCATCCAGGGCACAGGGAGGGGTTGGGGGACCCCAAGAGAACGGGACAGTGGAGGTAGACTTCTAGGCTCTGACCTGTAGACATCCATCCTGCTTCCCTTACCCATCAGCCTGGACAAGACTTGCTTTAGCCATCTTCGGGTCTATCTAAGGACCCTGCTCAGGCTCTGGGCTGTGGTCCCCATCCGGTGGCATTACCTGCCCTCCGTCGGTCATTTCAAGGAGGAAGACAGTCCCATATTGGCTCCAAGGAACTCAAGTGCTCATCCTTCATCCTAAACCCTGGTCATCCCAACTCCCTTTCTTAAGACTCAGACACTCCTACTCCAGGCATCTGTGGTCCCTTCCAGTCGGCTCCAACCTGCAGCCCACTGACACCCAGGCAGGACTCCAAGATCTTACCTGCCCATCCCGGGGCACCACTCAGCCCCAACACCAGAGGTAGGAGCAGTAGGAGGCGGTGGCAGCCGCTGCCCCGCTCCATGGCTCAGAATGCCGGGTCGTAGACCCAGACAACCCTGGTGCGGACAGTAGACAGAGCGTGCTGAGCCTTGGAACCAGGACCCAGGGATGTCAGCAGCTCTCAGCGGCCAGCTCCATGCAGCAAGGTGCTGTTGGGGATACCTCTGCTTGTCACCGCTGCTTGCTCCTCGGTGGCCGCTACTGTGTGCCCCTGGCCACCCTGGCAGCTCAGAGACCCCAGCTCGCCCCCGCCCCTAGGTCCGGCCCCCGCCTCTAGCTGCCCGCCCACAGCCACCAAGGGGAAACCCCACCCCCGATCTCCACCTGGGCAGGGGAGTGTGGGGGCGAGAACCGTTCCTCACTCGCTGGCCCTGGAACGGTGCACTCCTACTCCTGGAGGGACCGTGTGGCCTGTGTGCACCCTCACATTGTATTTGGGGGGAACACAGAGTCTTCTGTAGCCCCTTCCTTTTAGGACCCCACGGTCTGGTCACACACACACACAACGGTCCCCGCCCTTGGGGGCCGAGAGCCCCTCTCTAGAGTCCGGGGAGGGACTGGGGCACAGTGGGACATAAGGGGCGGG